AAGTTGGTTGCAGTTTTTTCATCTCACCCTGTAGTTCTCGATTTGTATAATTTATCCTGTGGCTTTAAAAAATTGTTAAATTTTGAAAAGGTCCCCAATTTGGGTATTATTTTTTTTCTTCAATATTCCCCCTTGGGCATACCTAATTTAAAAAACGAACGGCCATGGCTATGATACCATGGCTCCACGACTTTTGGCGATTTCTTATTAAGGATAGAAAATTGAAAACTGTTAACGACGACGACGATACTGTCTTCTTTTTCAAGGATATCGCCATGGCCCATGGGCCCAGGATGGCAAGCAACACAATTCGTTGATAGGCTGGCTTTTCACTCGATTACTGTTGTTCCTCTCTGCTGAATGCCTACCAAAATATTCTTAATTAGGAACAAGGCTTGTTCAGCAACGACAACGGCAAAAGTAGTAACAACAACACCAAGTGTTAGTGTAAACAATGCTTTCGTGTGGGTGGATGGGTGGGTTGAGTGTTTGGTTGGTTGATTAACAAGTCCTTGGAGAATTTAAATAAATTTAGTTCGAGATAATAAACCAAAAAATGCGGTGGAAGTGTAAACTGTAAACTCATTACAGTGTTTATGCCGAAGGCGTCGATAATCAGGAAAAACTCTTAAGCAGCGGCAGCGGCAGCAGAGGAAGAAGTGTTAGAAGAGTAACTAAGAAATACTTAATTGTATAACTAATTGAATACCAAAGAAACCGGTAGTTCTATGACTTATTCATGGCGGAGGTGGTAATTATGTGGTAGTAAGATTTAGATTAAGATTCTTTTATTATTTGGGGACTTAGATTTAAAGTAAGCAAATAAAAATTTTGAATTTCTTTAAATTGTTGGAATATTCAATTATAGATGGAATATTCAATTAAATATTGTATAATTTCCAATGACCGTATTTTTAATCTTTGTTACAAGTGCGAATTCCCTGATAGATATTGAACTCTGCACTAATGAAAAAAGGTAAGCAAATGGGGAAAAATCACCGTTTCATCAAATAATGCAATTTTTGAAGCTTGGGCGCCACTAATCGTATGTAATGTCAATATTTTAAGGATTTCACGAACACGATTTCTACGACGGCTATTTTGGAAAATGGTACAATAATTCAGCAGCAAAACATGTCTAAAGCTACACTTAAACTTGAATTGTCAAAAATATTTTATTTTTCGTTTGTCGACATTGATTGATTATTGATTAGTTGGTTATACTGACAGCTGTAGCGACAGCCCTGTAGCCAATGACCGTATAAACAAATATAATATCGAACTATTTAAGACAATTCCGAAATGTTATTTACAAATCAAATTCTCCGTAAAAAATGCAGAATTTGAAAGAAGAATTGTGTTAAGTTTCAAAATGGATTTTCAGGGTGAATAGTAGCATTTTTATGTTCTCAGTCATATGGCTAGGGAAGATATATATCATTTGATACGGCCAAAACGTACCTCATCGATATATCGGTTTTAGACCCTAGGTCTCCTTGGACCAAATCCATATCAGGACATTTGGAGTCGATCTAGCGATGTCCTTCCGTCTGTCTGTCTGTCTGGCAGGCTGGTGCGCACGATAACTCTCGAATTGAATATCCGATTTGGTACAAAGTCTGAATGGAATCGGATGATAATTTCGCGTTTTATGAGCTCCATGGATACTCAAACTTTTGCCCCTTTGTCGGGGAGGTACCAGAATGAGTACGTAAATATATCCTATCTTCACACCAGATCTTGGGTTGATAAAAATATCGTGATTTGGAGAGAACAGTAGGCTTTTTTCGGATTTTATGATCGTTTTGGTGTTTCAAAACTTTGACACTTTTTTGGGGGAGGTACTTGAAGGAATGGTCCGATCTCTAACATCTTTACAACTGGTGTTGATAGAAATGTTGAGATGTGCCAAGTCGAAATCGAATCGGATATTAATTTCGTATTTTATGAGCTTCATGGATGTTCCAAATTTTGACCCTTCGTGGGGGAGGTACAAGAAGTAATGGTCCGATCTCAACTATCTTTATAACAGATCTTGTATTTATAAAACTATTCAGATGTGCCAAGTCTGAATGCAATCTGATGCTAATTTCGTGTTTTATGAGCTTCATGGGTATTCAAATTTTTTAACCCCTTGTGGGGGAGGTACCAGAAGGAGTGCACCGATATATTCCAAATCTCACCCCAGACCTTGGGTATTTAAAGTCCTTTATGTATGGTTAATATTGGACCCAAATAGTTAGTGCCTGGGAAACCAAAGCCCTTTTGGGATTTATATCTACTGACCATACTAAGCCTGGACCAAATATTATATTCGCTTTAAAAATTGCCATCCACAGCAGTCAGACAGAGGGACGAATATATACCCATATCTAAAACCACTCCAATTTTCCAAAAAAAAAAACCAAAAAACAAGTAAAAAAGCAGTAAGTTCGGCCAGGCCAAACTTTAAATTTAGGAAATTTTCAAAAAAAAATCCATTAAAAATTCTTTAAAAACCTTTCAAATACAGAATCTCGGAAGGTGCCGATATATAGGGGATAGACGATATTGCGGACCTATATAGACAAATCTATTTCTGGGGGAAAAGTACTCACAAAGAACTCCTTGTGCGGAATTTCAGACAATATCATTCAAAAATGTGGCTAAAATCAACATAATATCGAATATCAGGGGGTACCGTATTATGGGGGCTATACGATATCTCGGACCTATGTAGGAAATTCTCTTCCAGGGGATAAAGTACTCACAATGAACTCTTTGTGTAGAATTTCAGACAATTCCATTGAAAAATGTGACTGACATCATCAAAATACCGAATATATGGGGGTACCGTTATATGGGGGCTTTACGATATCCCTGACCTATAACTATAATTTTCTTCCAGGGTATAAAGTACTCACATAGAACTCCTTGCGAAGAATTTCAGGCAATTCCATTGAAAAAATGTGGCTAACATCATCAAAATAGCGAATATCGGGGGTACCGTTATATGGGGGCTATACGGTACACCCTATAACGATAATTCTCTTTCAGGGGATAAAGTACTCACAAAGAACTCTTTGTGCAGAATTTCAGACAATTCCTTTGAATAATGTGGCTTAAATCATCAAAATGCTGAATATCGGTGGGGTACCGTTATATGGGGCCTATGGGATATCATGGACCAAAATAGTCCACCTTCGAATTTGACCTGCCTGCAGACAAAAGACAGACCTGTGCAAAATTTTAGCTTCCTATCTTAATTCGTTTTGACTGTAGCGTGATTACAACAGACGGACAGACGGATAGACGGACAGGGCTAAATCGTCTTAGAATTTTACGCTGATCAAGAATATTTATGGTGGAGGGTATAAATAGGATTTTGTATTAAAGAGTGTAGTAGTCAGGCTGAGGATGAGTTTTTATGCTCTCATTTATATAGCTACAGGGGCATATGTCGTTTCAGGTTGCCAAAATGTGCCTTATCGAAATAACGGTTACATCTTTAAGTGAAATCCGTATCGAGAAATTTGGGGTTGTTACCATATCCGCCAGGCCGATAACTTTCAAGGCAGTGTCCCATTTAGTTCAAAGCAAGTATTCAGGTTCGAGCCGATATTTGAATACCGATATTTTGGTACTTGTATTTTCAGAGGCATCCCTTTTCCTCATGCTGCAGGGTATTTAACGGTCGACCGGCCGAACTAAATGTCTTGTCGTTTCTTTTATTTTCGTTTTTTACAGATGTTGCTGCGGCTGACATTCCCCCTTGCCAAATACACGCCATTTCATATATTTTTAGAGATTTTCAATTTTTACGGCAAATTATTCCCATAAAGTATTGAGAATTATTTGGTTAAGAATGTTAAGAACAAAAAAATATATTAAACATGAAACCCATATTTCGAGAATATGGTTGGCAATGGATTTGTTTACTGAAAAGTTATTGCTCAATCAATTCCTGGCAATTTTTGAGCGGCTGGAGGAACATTCAAACACTTCAAATTTATTGACTTGTGTCAAAACATAAAATCTTTCCCTCATTAAATTCTTATTAAATTTAACAAATTTCTTCAAGCACTGGCGTGGGAAGGTTTTTTGTTCCGATGTTCGTTCATTCATTCATTCGAAGGCATTACCTCGTTAAGCCATAAAAGTAAAAAATGGCTACGAAATTAGGATTCGCCATTGGATTTGTCTAAACAACAAGCCAAACAAATAACTTCGTTTAGTAAGTGTCAGCAAAGACGTTTAGACCTTTCACACGACTTGTTAGTAGCACCAGCAGACGCTACGTGTGTGTGTGCGTGTGTGTAAGTCCCTTGTGTTGTTGACAACGCATGGTGAAAATGAATTGTTTAACGGTCCTTGGAAATTCGAGTGGAGTAGAGCAGGCACAGTCACCGAACTTTTGTGTGTTTGACGGCAGGGGGTGGGGGAGGTGGTGTGAAAAACTTACACCAAAGACGGAGAGGAATCAACATTCCTTTTACACGCACGCACACACATAGACATCTTCATTTCGCCAACATGGCACGCACATTTTCCATTTTGAGGGCATATCATGTGTGTCAATATATATAGTTTGAGTGTGTATGGGGGGTGGGGTTTAGGATGAGCGCCAGGATATTTGTATATCTTAATACGCTCAAAGTTGTGTGTAAACATTTTGAACGAATCCACTAATCTCCACCGCTCATGGTTATGATAAATCTTAGTGAACCACAAAATTTTTCGCTTCTTCCTATCTGCTTCATCTAAAGGACGGCAACTAACACCAAACAATGCCGGAACCGAGAAGCACGTTTCTCCTCCCTCCCCCATTGAGGAATGGGGAGATATGTTTTTGTAAAATTAAATAATTTTCAAAAGTATTTCCTCGCCTAGTTAATTTCATCATTTTCTTTTCAATTTTATCTCAATTTTGGTAATGTGTTTTAGTTTTTGTTCGTTCGCTATGCTCTCAGCTTCCATCACTGATTTATTTTCCTTTTCTATTCTTGCGTTCTCTTTCGTAGGTATCATGGATGCGGCGAAAAGGCGACGAACTGGCACTCATTACATTCGGCCGCCACACATACAGCGGAGACTCCCGTTATTCGCTGGAGTTTGAGGAGCCAAACGATTGGAAACTTTTAATCCAATACGCCAACGAACGTGACGAGGGTCCTTATGAGTGTCAAGTTTCATCACATCCGCCTTTAGTGTTGTTAGTCTATTTGACTGTAATTGGTAAGTATCACAACAGTATCACACAACAGCAACAGAAGATCTGCACACTCACGAAGTGCCAGTTGTACATATACTATATATACTTCAATTACAAACACACACACACACACACATATACACAACACTTATCCTCACTGACACCATTTCATCAGTTGGCAAAGACTAAAGACAAATATATTTTCTAAGAAGCCCAAGAAGGTGGGGCCTTTAAGTAAATCCTGATCGTCAGATTAAAGGGAAGAGAGAGAGAGAGAGAGAGAGAGAGAGGGGTAGGTAGGTGAGTAAAGTTTAGACGTATCAGAATCTTAAAGGCTGGAAATCCGTACAACAAAGGCACGAAAAGTATTAAAAGGTACTAAATATGGTACCCTTTGTATTTCAGGAAGCAGTAGAGCTAGAAATAGTGCTTAAATTTGGAATGAGGATTGCTGATGGATAAACCGTATGATAGATGTGCCAAAGAGTTTTTGGAAATTCTCACTACAAGTGTGTGTGAAAAGTACTAAATTGTACTACATTTGGTACCATTTCGTAACATGTGAATGGCAAAAGTCAAAAGTAACTTGAAATTTTAGAATTTGAATCAAGGTTGAGGAGTAGAATCGATGTTAAGAGGTAGTTTTCGAAATGTATACTTATGTGCAAGACTAGTACTAAATTTGGTACAATTTCGATGATACCCTACACCACTTTGCTAATTACGTAGAGCTCCGCATAACAATTAAAAGTTTTTATGGGAGAATTCAACCATACATGCTAGGATTATAATTATAATTTAAAGTTCATAGGACTAAATATGCCAAAGCATTTGTATCTTTTAAATTCGGACTTGTATTGCCCATTTGGTGCACAATTAATTTGAAATCGGATAAAGATATATATGGGAGCTATAGCCAAATCGGAACAGATGTTGATAAAATTTGGCAAAGATATTTCTGAGTTGTATTTAATATATTTTCCTGAATATCGTTGTTACGGAGTGCATATTACGGTTGTGGGTAATAAATATAACAAATCGGATGAACAATATATATGGAAGCTCAAGCTATATCTGAACCGATCTTCACCGAATTTGGCATACTACCTCCTAAACAATTCAATTCGGTCGTATGCGCCAAATTCCATCCCATTTGGGCAAATATTAGATGTTTGGTGCACAATAAAAGGTAAATCGGATGAAGTTATATATGGGAGCTATATCTAAATCTGAACCGATCTCAATAAAATTTAGCAAAGGTATTTCTGAGCGGCATTTGATATATTTCCCCAAATATTGTTATTGCGGCTGCGGAGGACAAAACTAACAAATCGGATGAACAGTATATATGGGAGCTATGGCTATATCTGAACCGATTTCGATCAAATTTGGCTTACTTATTTTGAGGTCAAATTTTGTTGTGTGTGCAAAATTCCGTGCATTTCGGGCTAATATTAAACGTTTGGTGCACAATAAAAAGCAAATCGGACGAAGATATATATGGAAGGTATATCTAAATTTTTACCGATTATCTCCAATTTCAATAGGGTTCGTCCTTGGGCCAAACAAATGTTGTTTGGAAAATTTCATCTCAATCGGATAATAAATGCGACCTGCATTTTGTTCACAAGAATACATGGACAGACGGACGGACAGACGGACTGACATGCATAAATCAACTCAGAAAGTGATTCTATGGAGATCCACCAAAGTAACTATGGGTCTATCTCGCTTCCTTCTCCATGTTACAAACAAATGCACAAAGACATAATATCCTTACCACTATGTGGTGTAGGGTATAATTACTATTACATTCTAGGACTGAGGAATGTAGATAGTTTGGGAACTTCATACTTATGTTGTACTTGGTACAATTTAATTTTTTGGGAAAACGAATGGAGTATGAATATCTAAATTTAGAAATAGTAATCTTATTATCGCATTGAAGGACAGAATTATGTAGGTAGTTTTGGAAAATGTTGTACTTATATGTACTAAATGGTACTAAATTTGGTACAATTTAAATTTTGAATACACCCGTAGAATTTGAATTCTAAAATTTGAAAATAAGATTTCCATTTGACTGTATGATGTACAGATAAAAACACAGATAAAAAACTGCGACAGAGTCAAAAGCCATAATTTTTACATTTTTTCTTTTAATTTTATAGAATGAAAGCAAAAAATGTCGGAAATAGCATCAAATTTTAGAATAAGTTTAGATTTGTTCGAACTGGTCACCTTTGTCACGAATTATGGCCTTCAAATGGCCAATGAAACCGTCACACGCTACCCGAATGTTGCTCTGCTGTATTTTGGCCCGGCGAAGGGCTTGCTTGAGGTGATCAACACTTTGGTACTTTTAGTGCCAGCCTTGCTTTCCAAACTACTCCAGACACAATAGACGAACGATTTGGTATCCGGAGATTTTGGTGGTCATTGTGCGCTGGAAATGAAGCGAGGAACCTCATTTTGTAAACATTATTGGGTGGCGCGTACTGAGTGCGATGGTGCTAAGTCCTGTTGGAATGTCCAAGGTCTGCGGCCAAAATGTTTGTGTGCCCCAGGCTTTAATACACCCTCCAGAATATTTTGACGATAATATTCGGCATTTATTCTGAAGCCACGGTCGATTAATACGAGCGGAGAGCGACCATTGGCTGTTATGGGAAGCCACCCCGTCACCATGGCAGGCACTTGAGTTCTGGTGGCCAACCGAAGGTGCAAATTTTCAGCTGACCTCTTTGTTTGTTTACAAACTGCCGGACAACGAATGTTTTCTCATCGAAGAAAACCAAATTCGGCAGTTCACCACTTTCGGCCAAGCGAAGCAACTCTTTAGCTCTTTTGAGTCTATTTTTTTTGTGGCGGTGTAAGTTCTTGCACTTTTTGGAATTTCAATGGCTTTACCCCGAGCCCATTTTTCAATATTTGCTGAATGGAATATTGCGATATGTTTAGCTCACGAGCCATTGTTCGTCCACTGCGACGCGGATTTCGATCAAGTCGTTTCTTTACATTTCGAACAATTTCTGCTGATGTTGCTGTTTTCTTTCGTCAACTTCCTTGACGTCAAGCTACGCTACCAGTATCACGCTAACGAGCGATTAAACGAGACACAAAAGATTTATTCACACGTAAATACTGGAGTGCTCTAACTATAGCCACTTGTGGTTTTCCAGCCAAATATAAAGAAGTCACACTATTACGATTGAATTCCATCACGAATAACTTTTTTCTGGAAAATTCTCACCAAAATTCTTTTGTACGTTTCTAAACAATATAATGAGCTGTCACTGGAATAATTTTAACAGCTGTCGGATGAGTGTCTTAGAAATGACAGCAGTCTGAAGTTGGTTGCACTTTTTTTAATCTCTTCCTGTATGTAGTTATGAAAATTCGTACTCAAGTGTACAAAATGGTGTTAAATTAGGAACAATTTGAACAAAATGCAGTTCGGATTTATTATCCGATTGAGATGAAATTTTTCAAACAATATTTAGCCCAAGGACGAACCTTATTGGAATTGGTGAGAATATGTTCAAATTTAGATGAAGCTCCCATACAATCTTCAACCGATTTCGGGTTAATTGTGCACCAAATAGTCAATACCGGTCCAAATAACCTGAATTTTGGCACATCCGGCCGAATTCAGTGTAGAAGCAAGTAACTCAAATTCGGTGAAAATCGGTTCAAATATATCTATAGCTCCCATATATATGTTTCACCCGATTTGGTGTTTATGTCCCTCACATTCGTAATATGCATTAGACAACAATGATATTTGGTACCAGATATCTTATAGAACTTGGAAATACATCTGCAAAATGTTATAAAGATCGGTTCAGATTTGGATATAGGTGTCATATATATCTTCAACCGATTTCGGGTTAATTATGCACCAAGTGGCAAATATTTGTCAAAAAATTCTGACTTTTGTATATTAGACCGAATTCAGTCTAGAAGCATGTGCATAAACTTTGGAGAAAACTGATTCCGATATAGCCATAGCTTCCATAACGTTTCATCTAATTTGGTGTTTAAGTCCCTCACATATATATCCTTAATCCAATTTCAAGTTTATTGTGCAAATAATGGCTAATATCAGTGAATTTCAAAGCGTACGTTTCCGTAAATTCATTTGTTACGAGAGGTCTACTTAATATGCATAGTGGTGTGGGGTATCATATATTCAAAACCCTCCGACTTTTAACTTTCCCTTACTGGTTTGACCTGCTACGATCCCTTTTAGAGGAAGTTTTTAACCATAAAAAACGACCAAAATGACTCTTTTGTGTCTCGCTCGAAGGTTAAAATTTTCAACCAAAATATTCTTCGAGTTTTTATTTGCAATATAGCCGAAGACATTATATACCTAAAATTTAAGGATTCCAAGGAATATGACTTGAGAGGGTATATATAATTTGATACGGCCAAAACGTGCTTCATCGGAATAACGGTTTCAGATCCTAGGTCTCATTGGACCAAATCCGTTTCCGGACATTTGGAGTCGATCTAGGTATGTCCGCCCGTCTGTTTGCCTGGCTGGTGCGCACGACAACTCTCAAAGGAAGTAACTAAAATTAATCCAAACTTGATACATCGTAATATTAGTATCAAACTTAGATCAAGTTAGGAGATGGGCAATTTCGGCCCACTCCGGTACCTCATCCACAAAACGCCGCCATTTTCACAAAAATATTTTACTGCACAGAAAGAGAAAGGATAATCCAATTTTTCTCCAACTTTGAAAGTCCTAATATTTCCATTAGTTCTACGTTAGATGCGAAAATGAACAACATCGGTAAACTCAATCAACTACATAAACCCACACCAAACCCCCCCCCAACCCCCAACGGGGCACACAAGAAAAAAAATTCGACCTTTTCAATAATTATAAATCTTATAAAATATGATGTCAAAGTCCGAAAGGATAATCCGATTTTGCTCCAAAATTTTGAATATCCATGAATCTCATAAAAGGCGAAATTAATATTCGACACCATTCACACTTGGTACATCT